AATCTATGTGCCATTTTTTCTCATAAATGACTGGGCTCCAATGGAGGCCTGTCTTCAGTAAAGGCTCCCACGTGGAGAGCTATTTCAATTGTGACCCCACAACTGGTGCACACCATCAGAGGCATAAGCAGTGAACATGGGCTGTTACAAGTGTGCACCACCTGTGAATGAAATTTTGCTACCATTACAGGGCTACATTTGGTGCACAAGTGCACCAACTGTAACCTTGGTGTGACTTCTTTGTATCACAAGAGTAACCATGGTGTTGCTTCATGATATCACATGTGTAACCTTGAATATCCCAGATGTGCACCTCCTGTGCATCTCTTGTGCTGATTTTTTAACCCTGTTGTAATCCCTTTCAATCTCCCATAGGACTGCTGTAACCCTGAGGAACCCTGGATTTCCCTTGAAGGAAATTCAAATTTTGTTGTACTCTGTATTATTTATTTCGCAAAATTAAGCACAAAAATGGAATTTCAAAAATTTTGCTGGGGAAATGCAACATAGTGTCTCACTTTGCTTTTGATTCTTGTGGCTTCTTCCTGGGGCATAATCTGCAATGTATGATAAAACCTGACTGGCTGTGGTGGCTTTTCCTGTGTGTTTGTGTGTGTGTGTGTGTCAGCGAAATGTTTTGCCACCCCACAAAAATGATCATAATACACCTTGATCAGATAAATCACAGTGACTGAGTAAGGCAAGGGTATTGAAATTCTGCTTATGAGCATAAAAAAATCATTCTGGATTAATGCTGGTACAAAACTTTTATTCATGCACTGAAATACTGTACCTTTTGTAACAAATATATTTCATTTTTTTACCATTTTCATCTGCATTCTAATCTAGTGTAATACATACAGTAACAATAATTCAGTACCAAAACACTGAGTATACCTATCAAAGAGATAGAAAAAATATCAGTTCCAGATATAAGATGTACAATTCTTTTCTTGAAACCGTTGTACCAAAATATATCGCCCCATAGTTAATTTTTGAAACTTCTGTCTTGAAATAGAATTCGAATTCAAAATGCTGCAAACCCAATTATTTAGCACCTTGTTTGCAATAAGGTTAGTAAATGTTATTTCAATCACATTGAGTTATTTCTTTGTTGATTTCTCTTCGTAGAAATACATTTTTTCATATACTTGTTTTAAATCAACTGCCCATCATTTAATTTCCACATCGCTCTCTCTAAATCAGCCACAATTAAATGGTTAATTTGGTTAATGCAGGAATGTTTTTTACAATCAGTAGAATGCAAGGTGGTTCTGGATAACTTTGCGGGTTCTTCTCGTAGAAATGATCAAATATCATCATGGAGGATCGATGCCAAAAGAAACCAGGTGGTGAAATTTGTAATTTTTTACGCTGTCGCTAAGACGCACTATAAGACGCGTGTCTTACTCCATACAGTACAATCCTGTGTGCTTCAGTTGAATGCCCTTCGACAAGTCGGGTGGGTAGAAAGAAACACTGCAACAACTTTTTATTTATCTTCGTCTTCTAAAGCTTTTCAGTTCAAGAAACGTTAAAAAATAAAAATAAAAAATCCCTCCCTGCGTCTCAGTGTTTCAGCGTTACATTTCGACATGCTGACTTCGACTTGACGTAACGAAAGTTTCAGAGAGACGGCTTTTTTTTTCAAAGAAGATTTAAACGTGAAATGACTATCCCAACGAAAAAACTTTTCTACGCGTTAACGTTTTTCATCTCCTTACTGATATTTTCGCAATTATTGAGAACGGATGATTTTGAACCGCACGCTCAAGTGAACAAAGTTTACGAATTTATCTCCAAAACTGTGGAATCTGTTCAAGGAGGTGAGCCATGTTTTAAATTTGAAAAACAAAATAAGTTATTCGAGTGTTGAAAATTCAGGGGGAAACTCGAACGCAAGTTTTTTGTGAATATTCTTAGAAACACCGGGAAGTTTTTATCTACATGCGAGTGGCATTAAATGATTACCCATTATATAACTTCACTCATAACGAATTTCATAAATCCAATAAGATTCCAACGTAGAGTTTCAATTTCTTTGTCAGATAAAATTGAATGTCCGTTTGAGTGAGCAAATTTTCTTGCGGTGAGACGAATAATTTGTCTTTCTAGATACGAGCCAAGTGCCTTTTCGAGATAATTATTGAATGTCACTGACGGATGAGAAAAAAAATTGGAATGTGATAAGTGTAAATTTTGATGATTCGAAAACAGTAGGGATAATTTAAAATACTTCTTGGGGTTTTTTCACCCCCGATTTGCTCTTATGAATCTGATGTGAGGCAGGACAGCGATGGGACAGCTTTTCTTGCTTCTGATGTTGGAATCAAAAATTGTACTACTTTATTTTTGAAGATACCCAAAAGAGTTCCGCGCTTTGGGTTTTATTTCTTGGCATTCGGCAAGAATAATGAAAAATGCTTCATTCGTGGATACTGACTGATCAGGAGACAGTTAATTCAGCGTAAGCAAGGCCATTTTCAAAGATGGAATGGCCCTTTCTTTAAAATTCTCATTTTACAATAGTGCAGTAAGACGCAAATCATTTATTAAAATTGCATTCTGAATTGAATAGAATCACCTTTGCCAAGAATTCCGTCAACAAAATATAATTAACCCTTCAATTTATTAAACAACAAAAGTATTAAAATTGGTATTCGTGAGCGAAATTTTCAGACTAATTTTCGATGGATTCTTACTTTCATTGACAATACAAGCAAACTGCGATGATTGAAGAAACTTCATAGCAAACTTTGTGGTTTTATTAGGTTTGATTTGGGTCATAGTTTCAAATGGCTGTTTCAAAATTCTATTTTTTCCAAATTTCTTATTGACTGCTGTCAAGACAAGACTTAATTGAGAACAAAGGAGTTTGGTGCAGAAAGACTGGAAAAGTCTTGGCTTGTTTGAGTTCAGAAAAATTAGACCAGGAAGCTAAAAAAAAGTCTAATACCTGCCAAGGAAAATAGGTTTTAGAATCCTCAGTTATACGGGTTTTTGGGTAATACAGGATTCACTTTGGGGAAATACAGAAAATAAATGGCATTTTTCCAAACCAATGTGAATTTTATCTGAATCTTCTTATTAAGAGTTGGCATATGTCAGGTGTCATTTACAGTCAAGACTTGATATAGTGTCATATAATTTGCCCTGGCCCATTTTGGGGCACAATAAGGAAGGGTGGCACTAAATTGGGTTCTTATTTTAGAGGTAAATTTTGTTGAGGGTATCCATTGAAGGTAAAGGGGGCTTGATCTCAGAATTGCTTGGCCGTGGATTCTGTTTTATAGGATAGAAAGCCACAGAAAATAATTTGAGGATCAAATGAACTGTTTTTACAACATGTATTCAAATGCAGTATATTCAATAATACAGAATACATTCTATTCTTCTTGCAAATATATTGACTCAAGTGGAACCATTTTCCGCAGCTTTTTTTGGATAAACTTTTGAATGGAAGCACACAATTCCTAGATCATTCAGAGGGATTTTTATTGTTTTTAAAGATACTATACCATTTCTTAACACGCTCTCTGCTGTGGAGGACATCCAAATAAAACAACCCAATTACAAATAGATGCACAAACAAAATTTTTAAAATCATTCTGAGCATGTGCATTTGATTTCCAGTAATACAGTCAACCCCTGTCTAATGGACTTAATCTGTGTAACAGACATGTCTGTTGGACAAAAAGTCCTTTAGACAAATTCAGTTATATAAAAAATTAAAAATTTCAATTTTCAACTCTGATTTTAAACCAAAAGAAGTCTGTTTGGTTGATTTTTATCTGTTATTGGGCTGGAGGAAAAACTGTCTGCAGAGCTGGTCTGTTAGGCAAACATTTCTTACACAGGAGGTCTGTTAGGCAGTGGGCCACTGAAATCTTATGAGATCCCAGAAAAAAGCCAAATTTTTTCAGATTTTCGCCTTTTTTTTAGATCTAGGGCAGGACCATTTTGTTGTTGACACCAAGTGAGTTGGCACTAAATCAGAAATTGCTTTATAACACAGAAATGATTGAATGTATTTGGGGGAGTTGGGTTGGGTGGGGAGGGGGTTTGGATTTGGGAGTTCTGCTTATGCCTTGTGAACGCTGAAAAGCGGCAAATGAAGTTTTCTGTTCATTCATTCATTCATTCAACATAGAAATGCAGGGATATTTGTTACAGAGGTTAGGCTGGGAAATGACAAAGGGTGAAAAATGGGGTATTGAGAAATGAAATGTGACACAGTTAGCCATTTTTTTGCAGTGTCCTCCTTATAGAGAAAAGAACCTTCAGAATGCTATCAAGGACAGACACATGCAGACACTGATGCAGCAATATACAGAGCCTTCAGGAACATATTCAAAATTTCCCATCACTCACACAATAACTCAGACAGTCTCACAGAAAATATCAGGTGTCCATCCACAAGAGTCCAAGTTCCTTCTTCTGGCAGGTGAAACCTTCAAGTGAAGTGTCCCCTGCCAGCTTAACCCTTTCTTGCCCATCCCAAGTCCTGTATATGTCCACTGGTTTTCTGTGGTGTGTCAAACTGGCCATGCAGTGGGATTTCTGCCATGGCGCAACCTGTTGTCTTGCACCCAGGTTGCTCCCTGGATTACAGGTGGTACCTTCCAATGTGACTGTCCCACAATTTGATGGGCACATTTTCTGGGAGGTCAGCTCTCAATTTGACCTCTGCTGTGCAATTTGACCTGCAGAGAGACATGACACATCAAATTCCATGCAGAAAACATGTTATTTGGTGTTGTCTTGAAATTTGACTGATTTTCAATTCAGCCCTAGTCCAAGAGTTGCAAGTTACCACCTGTATCCTGTTGCCCATGCGGCAACATCTTGCAGGCACCAAACAGCAGGGATCAAATTTGTGGCACCAAATGCAGGGGTAGCACTAAATAATGGGGGGGGAGGGGCACAAAATGAATTGACTGAATTTGAATCCAAGTTTATGTGGCAAAAGTGAAACTATGTTCATTTTTTTTCCTTTTTAAATGCTAGAAAACATTCAAAGAAGCACTGAGCAGTCCTATGAACCCGATTTCAACCTAACTGATGAAGAAACTCTCATCAGAATGGAGGCGGAAGTTCCTAACGTCCCTGTCAAGTTCTGGAGATCCGTGGAAAAAAAATTGCACACTATGCAAAAAGGTGGCAACTGCGCACAAATGCCCAACATTTTCGAATTGGCGTTCGAAAACTTGGTCTGGCAACAGGTGAAGACCAGCAATGGAACATTCTCTTTATATTCCGCATACTTTGACATACGTCCACTTTCACCTGCTCCAACGATTCGGATCCTGTCAATCATCGATCGGGTTGTGCCAACTGTACCCGCTTTCTGCCAAATCTGGTTCGAAAACAGCACACAACCCGTGATAGCTAATGTATCCCAGTACAGATTCCTTTGGAACAAGGCTTGGGGAACTGGGAACAAGATCCATCCCTTTTCCATCGAATGCGAAGTGCCTTCAGTGAATAATCAGACAGTGGTTCCAGTCGCCGTTTCCGTGGTGGAAAATTCCTGCGACAAGGCATCGAACCTGGTGAAAGTGACCCACAGAACCCTGGAACCCGGGAAGAATAAATCGATTGCTGTTTGCATCAAACGCTTGCACTTTGTGCATGAAGAACCTGTCTTGAAACTGATTGAATATCTGGAACTGGTTCGACTTTTGGGTGCGGAAAAGGTCTATATTTACGCCTTGGAGCCGCAGCCGAATCCAAAAGTTGAGAGATTCATCAGGTACTTCGTTTTTCCCATTTACAAAGAAAAAAATTAGGACACGAACCATTTTTCAATCTCATCATATTGAAATCATATCTAGCAGGTCTCTATATACAAGTACAGTACTGTATTTTCATTGCAGTATCTTAGCATGGATTGCAGGCTTTCAAATTATTCTAAAGCAGTTAGGATTACAGCAAAATATCTATGAAAAATGGGGGTTGCTTTGAGCATAATCCCTTAGATTTGTTTCAACATGCATTGTTTCTAAGAGGTTTATGCTCAAAGCAACCCCACCTCCAAAGACTTTTTGCTGTGATCATAACTGCCGTAGAAAAAATATTTAAAGCCTCCAATTTACATGTCCCTAAAAATATTGAGATGCTAACTTTCTTTGAAATTGGAGTTTCACCTGGATTTTTCCCAAATTTTTTCAGAAATGTTGCCTAATTCAATATTTCAGAAAGTGTACATGTCAGGGTCAAAAATGGCTTACAAGAAGGCTATGCTAAAAATTCTCTAAAAACAGGTTTTCATTTAGATCTCTTAGAGATTGGACTTGCAGGTTTTAAAAATTGCTGCTATAAAGGGTTATGATTAAATAAAAAATTATTCAAAATTTTTTTCCTAAGTATAACCACTTCAAATTTCTCAATTGCATCTGAGATGGTAATAATCAAAGCTGACACATTTTAAAAGAATTTTTGGCTTTCATCATAAGTTCCTAACCCCCTTAGACAAAAATGTGAACCAAAATGTGAATTTATGTTCTAAACCTGTGACTTTGTGTTTTAATCCTCTGGATTAGAATTTGAATTGCATGGGTTCCTCAAAGTAAAATCCATTTTCAAAGAATTTTTTGCTTTGAGCATAACCCCATTGAAACAAATATGTTCCAAATCAGCAATCTACCCTCACTAAAGATTTGAATGGAGACCTAATTATAAAACTGTTTATTTGTTTTATCAAAACCCCCTAAGATGCAATGTTTTCATGAATTTCAACCTGATGAAGAAAATATAGTGCTCAAAAAGTGGTACAGTATTCATTTGGATGTTTCTAAATAAATTTTTTGGGATTGCTAATTTAAAACATTTTTCCTATGATAAATAACATAAATGTCTTCTCAATTGAAAATAATTAATGTGCATGATTTTTCTTATTTTTTCATTTTTATAGGCTTTATATAAATATTAAAAACGTTTTGAATTTCCAAATGTTTCAGGTTTTTTGTGGGGGAAAAAATGTTTGTACTACAAATTTTGTTTGTTCTACGGGGGTTAAAAAACTGATTTTTGGCACACAAAAAAAACATTTAAGGCAAACCTTTGTTGTATGGGGGGGGGGGGGTTTGTAGAGCGGGGTATCACTAAATTTTGCACCCTGCAATATTACGCTAATCCATGGCTGGACTAGAGTAGATGTGTGAATTTGCCAAATAGAAAGACTAAGTCAAATGCAATCTTTTCTACATCATATTTGATACTTGGCATCTTCATGTGGGTGGAATCACCGGACAGTAGGTCAAGTTGCAATCTTACATCCCAGCAGATTTAGCCATTGAAATGCAGGATGGAGAAGTAGCAGGGTGGTCAAATTGCAAGGTACCATCTGTATTAAAATATGGTTGAGCATTGGTTGGAAGCACATGATGGGTGAAATCACCACAATGCTGTGAATATTTTTGAATGTTATTCAAATTTTTTAGAATCCTATAGTTCATTCATTCACATTTTTTGTATGAATAATGAGTAATTTTCTGGTTTGATATTCTGCTGATTACTGAATTTAAACTACTTGTGCTGAATTTTTGTTCTAGGTACTATGAAGCTCAAGGGTTGCTTGAAGTCTCCAAGATGACGATCCCGGGCACTCGGCCAAATTCTCCCATTATGCGTCACTTGTTCATCGAAAAGAATATCTACCTGGAATGGGTCTTGGAAATCCTACCAGCAGACGATTGCCTCTACAAGAGCTTCTACCGACACGATCTAGTCGCAATGATCGACCTGGACGAGGTCATCATTCCAGAAAACGGTCTGAACTGGCGAGAGGTGATCAAAAACGTGACGAATGGCAAAGGGTACTCGGCAATCACGTTCAACAACGCCTACTACCCCATTAATTACCCCAAGCCCGAAAACTGGAACCCGGGTTTCCCAGCCGAGTTCCCGATGCTGAACACGGTTTACAGACTTGCCAACTACTCGAAACCCGGGCATTCCGTGAAATCCTTCTTCAACACGTCTGATGTTGTCATGGCGCACAGTCATTGGGCTCTGGGTTGCATTGGGCTGGGTTGCTCCGGGAAAGATGTGCCTCTCAGTGCGGGAACTTCGCATCACTACAGAAACATTTTCGAAGGTCACATGAGCAACCAGCCCTCGTCTGATAACACCACTGTGGCGGATTATTCCCTGTGGAAGTGGAAGGATGAACTAGTCAAGAGAGCCACAAAAGCTGCCAAAGATTTGGGATATCTTTGAAGCTTCCCTGATTTGACACAAAGGAAAAACTGTCAGCAATCTGCCATTGATTTTTTGTTGTTGGTTCACTTGAGTGTGTTTTGTTGTTATTTGGTTGCTTGCATTCAATCCTTTTTTTGTGTATGTTTTTGCTTCACAGCTGAAGGTGGTCCAAAATTCAGACACGTTTGTGATAATCTAAGCAATGGGAATAGATATGCCAGCATCAAGGGAAGTTGGTGTGGTTCAGTGTGATACTCTTTGAAACAGAAACAAGGGTGAAATAATCCTTTATGCTTGAACACTTGATATTAAAAAAAATCTTACGGTTTCTGAAACATGTTCCTTGTGCAAAATAAAACTGGGAAAAACAAAAAAAAAATACTGAAGAGCTGTAATTAATCATTTGGGAAGGCTTTTGTAACTGATATTCAACTCACAAAAATGCAGAAAATGTTTACAGCTCACATCAGAAGATAATGATTGCATTCAAAATATATATACATGTGTAGATTACTTTTGAGGGGACATTGGTCAGGAACTTGCTGATGAAATGCATACAATTTATCAAATTGACCCAAAATTGTTTTGGAAGCTCTTTCGAAATTGATTCTGTCAACAGCAATTATTACAGAAACATCATGTTATCCAATCCTCTTGTTTTCAGTGAGAAGTCTTCTCAAACTGAGTTGTTGACTACTGGGCTTGCAGTTGAGCATACAATATTGCTCATTCTGAACATCATGCACAGTAATATGCATAAATCTAGTGAAATTTTACTGAAAGCTGAATGAAAATATGCACTCACTCACACTTCTGATAAATATGTTTATTGCTCATCCTCAGTTATCTAGGTATTCACAACGCCAAATATAATTTTTTTTTTAATTCCAAGAACTAATCTCATACAAGGTGATCTTGCCATATCGCCCCATATTCCAGACAAACAAAGCAACTCATATTACGAGAACGTATATAGATAAAAAAGGACAGCGAATCACACACAAAAAAGGAATTTCTTCTACGTATTTTTCCAACCCGATAAGACGGTTGCTTCATATGAAAGCCACCACTTGTATGTCGACTCTGCCTGGGTTAGATTAGTTGTCCTCACGAATATACTGAACACTTTGAGTGAAATTTCTCCGCGGAAGGTGTCTCTTGAATTTTTATTTCTGATAAATTGTANGTCTCTTGAATTTTTATTTCTGATAAATTGTATTTGTGGTCAAAATGGCCATAAAAGTTGAATTCGGAGCCTTGAAAAAGCCGCATGCGATTTTGAAAATTGTCACCGGAGTGAGTAAAAAAAAATTTATTTATCATTCAAGGCCAACAACTTTCAAAACTAATTCTACCGTAATTTTTGAAATGACGCTTCAGCAAGTGATTATTCTTTTTTTTCAAATTTTAGGCTACTGTTCCGTTATCACAGCAATATTTGAACTTCTGATGTCTTTTCGGCGACTTGATAACCCAGGATAATCAAAATGAGGACTCAGTTTCTGCTGTTAACGTGCTCCTTTTTTCTATTGGGTTCTTCGTGACTTAATTATCCATTAAACGCACTCCGTCAGTCGTCGACAATAAACGTGGACCCGAATCGTCCGCAATATCAGGGTTATATTTATTATCAGAATGCAAAATTCTTGAAATGTACACAGGAATGGATATTTCAGCGAAATAAATTATTGGTTTGCTTCATTTTACCAATATAAATCCAGAAGTGAATGTGCAATAAAATGGACGCCATGTTTCAATCTGCACAGTACAAATATTGCTTGCAGGCAAAGAAGAAAACTGTAGCAGAATAGGTGACTTCATGTCTCTGGAAGCTTTT